AAAGTTATAATACCCTTGTGCACAAGTGCGCTCGGGTATAAAAATAGATTGACGCTTACACATATGTTAGGGTTTTCCGATTTGTGGCGTGCGCCTTGATGTTGTCACACAGAGCGGAGGGACCTACAGTTTTACGCCGACTCCGAATGGCGATTGTATTTTTATGAGAAGCTGTTTTTCATGGCAGAAATACACTCGGAGGTTTGCCATTGCCTGCCGAGGGACGACCGCTGTTAAGAAAAAACCTGTTCTCTATATTTTTGCGATGTTGCTTTGACAAGGGTTTGAACCCACGCGTTGCGGAGTGGAAGCGCGCACTGCTTACCACTACACCACAGCGGCTGTCAAAGCGATCACAGATATCACATATAAATTTTGGTCCCGACTGCAGTCGGTTAAGACGTTTTTATACGGTAATCTGAAGTTTGACCCCTGTGCGACACGCCTTAATAGACTCCAATCAGGTCCAAAATTATATGTGATATCTTTGATTAAAGTAGTGTCGACTATTGGTATTAGGTAAAATAAAAATTAATTTTAATTTTTTTAATCCTCCGTAGAGGAATCTGAACTTTACCCCCTGTGCGACACGCCATAACCGTCTCAAATCGGGACCTAAATTTATATGTGATATCTTCGACCATAGTAGCACCGACATAGGGGTTGAGGCTTGGTAAATCTGATGTAAAAATTTGCTTCCTACATTTAAGGACCACCCTAATGTACATATGCAAACGCGAAATTCTCTACTCGCCATCAGGCCATGTGCGCTCTACGTCTTCAGTGGGAAATGTACGTAACCAATAAGCGTTATCAAATAGCTTAAAGCCTAGCTTCTCGAACATGCCACGTGCGACGCGATTATCCTTGTTCACCAGAGTCATTACATCATCACCCAGCTCCGCAATGCGTTGCGCTGTAGCCGTGGCAATCAGGCTACCCAAACCGCGTTGCTTGTGCTCCACCCTCACTTGCAGAGCGCCGAGAAAACCGCCTTGCAAACTGACGTTGAGAATAGAACAAAAATAAAGGAATGCGTTAAAAAACGTGTCTCAAGTTTTCATATTTACCGCAAGCACCACGCTACTAGCTCGCCAGTGTCTGCTGTATAAACGCCCATATTCGCATTCCATTCTATGAGACGTTTAATCAGAAAACGTGAACCCTGATGACGATTCGGCCATAGTGTGTCGATTATCTCAGCATCGGTTGTGGCATTTAAAGGACGTAGCACATAACCGATGGGACGGCTGAAATTAAGCTCAAATTCGTTTATAAATATTTAGGTAGATATGTTTGCGAGTACGAATAATCGAAGCTAAGTTTTTCTTTTCAAAACTGTTCGCTAATCCAAGTGCACACAGTTAACCTATACAAGTTCTGCTATGCACATATGTACGTACTTTAGTGGCAACTGCAGCACTTCCATTCTGGGCTTGTAGT